GGGCAGCAGGGCGGGCTGGTATACTGGGGGCAGAACCACCTGCTCTCTCCCTGACTCTGAGCTAGTGACCTCCACTCCCTCCTGCTCCACCCCTGTGCCTGAGCCTGCAGGTCCCGCTGGAGCCACCAGGGGGCGGCAGTGAGCCAAAAAGAGAAAGTCCAGGAAGGGGACCATCTGGCTTTAGGAGGGCCCGGCCCCTTGGCTCCTCATCCAGTCCCCACCCACGGTCCGAGAAATGTCTGGAACCTTCTAGGACAGCCAGATCTTGACCTACCAGTACGGGATCCCGACCTCTCTCCAGAAGACAGGCCAGCAGTGGGACTTCCCCAGTGCCTGGGCCCCCTTGCAGGACCTGGTCATCAGAGGTAGGGAGGCAGCAGTGGGGCACATCCCAGGGCCTGCCCTCCTTGCATCTAGAGGGTCAGCCCCCTGGTACTGGGGAGGTGTGAACAGAGGATGTGAGGTCTTTCTCTGGCTCTTCTGTTCTCATGGCTTCCCCCCTCAGCAGATATTTGTGCCTGCCCCCACCTGTCCAGGGAACCAGCCCTCCTTTCTCTCTCCAAACCCAGGCCCTGGGGAAAGAGCACGTTGGCTTTTCACGTGGTTTCAAGATGGAGGTCTTGAGGCTCGGGCCTCTTTCCCTCCTTGAGGAGAGTAAGGTTCAGGCCTATGCTCCCTCTGGGTTGGGGACTCAGGTGGCTCAGGGTCCTGCCTGGGGCGGGGTGGGGTCTAGGTCTGGCCAAGTGTCCTTCACCTCGGGCCCAGGAAGTGGCTTTCCAGCTGGCTCAGAATTGGATCCGAACCAACTTTGAGGTCTACTCCAGAAAGCCAGCCATGTATGAGAAGGTGAGCTGCTCCTGGGCCTCCTCCCCATGGGGAGATGGGGGAATTGCCAGGCTTTGCAAGGCCCGGGGACAGTGGTGACACCCAGTGGCCATTCTTGGGCACTGCAGGCCAGGGCAGCTTCTCCCACAGGGGCTCCCATTTCTGGCTTTCCCCTAGAGGGCTGAGGTGAGGGGGCGCGGGGGTGGGGTGGGTAGTGCCTGACCTTAGAGCCTGTCCTTTTGTTCCCAGTATGACATCAGCAACGGTGGTCAGCCAGGTGGTGGAGGGGAGTATGAAGTTCAGGTGAG